TCTTCCAACAACCGGTTCTCCGAACTGCTTAGAAAGTTACGAACCGGTTCTCCCGAATAGGTGTGAACTGGTTGAATCCCACCACTGGTCTGTAGTTTATACTTTCAAGGGAAGATCAGAAAAGTAAATTGCTGGTTGTACCCAAACTAAAAAGCACATTCAGTTCTCTTTAGAAAAAAATTATGTAATAGTAGCGTTGTTTGCTATTGAGCAATATTTTCTCAGCATCTTAGGGGGTTTGAAACTTGTTCTAAGAAGTACGTGGTGATGATACATGATAAACGCCTGATCAATTCACGCACTGTTATTTCATAGCTCCCAGCCGAAGAGGATATCGACCTCAGTGATGTCGATCTTGATGATTGGGATACTCAGAAGGATGAATTGTGAGAGCTTGAAGAGAACTTGGTTTCTTGAGAGAGAACATCGGGCAGTAGTCTGGGATTGGAATGGAAGAACGTTTTGCACCACACGGATCTACCAGTGACTTTTTCTTTTGCCAAGAGAGAAACTGTTGGAGACGTGGTCATCCGTGAACTGAGCATCTCTTAAGAAAAAAAGAAAATATCTCACAAATTCTATGAATTTTTTTTATTGAGTGTAAATTGTATCCGGCGTAGCAGATATTTTGAGAACAACACTGATCTTTCATTGAAATGCTCTTGAGGGTTTTATTCTTTTTTTCTTTTGCTTTTTTAAAATCTAGCTGACGTGGTGGTCAATTGTAACTTGAGACTTTTGTTGTACTTAGTTTTCAAATGTGATCTTTTTTTCTCCTCCCCCCACAGTATAGCTTCCATTTCAATGAAAGAATAAAACAATATTTTTGACTCGGTGTCAAGTGTTCTACAGTGTACAGAGATACCTCCCTTTGACTTTATCAGTGCAGTATTTGGAGGCACTTTTGCAAAATTAATATTATTATGTGTGTTCATATTAAGCCAGTCACTCTTTAAATTCTGCCGATTTGAAGACGCTACAGAGAAATGTTTCACACAATACTAAGCTTTGGATATGAACCTATTCTGTCTAAATACTTTCTTTGCATAATATTTTCATTTCCGTTTCATTCTATTCAATCACATGTTTACTGTGCATAACCAGGGCATATAACATTGAGTAATAGCC